AATCTGTCAAAACCCAAAACATAAAAGTTGTGGGCCTTCCTTTCATCTTTCTAATTCTTCTTGAATTGTGCAATTCGGAGTCCGGAATTGAGAGTGAGGCCCAGATTACTGACTGTCGCCGAAACTTTGAAAATCACCCGATTTGCCCTGTTTTCTTCCAATTGCCTTCTTTATTGCCCTAAATCGAAATACAAGAGTAATGAGTCCATTTAAGTGCTCAATTAATGTAAAAAGATGAAAATTAGAGGACAAAAATAGGGTTATTTTCAGTCTCATCAAATTTCGAACAAACTTCCTGTAATAACCTATCAAACCTAAGAATCCTCACAACTCTGTAATATTAGTTGGTTGTGGCCATGCTATCATGGCCTCGATTTTTTTGTTATCAACCTTTACTCCATGAGGTGTCACCACGTGGCCCAAATACTCCAGCTCCTGCTTGCCAAAGTTACATTTGCTTGCTTTGACAAAAAAGTTATGATGTTTCAATATGTCTAATGTGGTGCGTACATGACTCAAATGTAAGTCCCAGGAAGGACTATAAACCCATATATCATCAAAGAAAACTAATATGAATTTGCAGAGATGGACGAAATATAGAATTCATAATAGCTTGAAAGGTTGAAGGAGCATTATATAAGCCGAAAGGCATAACTAGATACTCAAAATGCCCATTATGAGTTCTAAAAGTAGTCTTCGGAATATCAGGGGCATGGACTCTTACCTGGTGATAACACGCTCGAAGGTCCAATTTAGTGAAGTAAGCCGCTCCATGTAATTCATCCAGCATGTCGTGCACTGATGGAATTGGAAACCGATCCTTGACAGTGGCTGCGTTGAGTGCCCTGTAATCTGTGCAAAACCTCCAGGACCCATCTTTTTTCTTCACCAGCAGAACAGGAGATGAGAATGGGCTGGTACTTGGTCAAATGATTCCCGTCCAACATTGCTTGCACTTGCTTCTCAATCTTTGCTTTTTGAAAATAAGCATACCAGTATGGACGAACATTGATGGGTTGTGTCCCTTCTTTAAAGGAATGTGATGCTTGATTTCCCTTAGTGGTGGCAGCTTGGTGGGCTTGCGGAAGATGTCCTCACATGCTCTCAATAGTTGCAGCATATATGTTGGAACGTCGTCCCACTGAAACGCTTCTATTGCTTGAGCATAAATTGCAAAAACCATCTGACCTTGGTGGTGTTCCTCTGTAGTGATCTTTAAGGAAGTAGCTTGAAGCCCCTTTTGAATTCCTTGTAGCCTGTGTGCTTGATTTTCCCATTTGAAATCCATTGTCAATTGCTTCCAGTTACAAACTACAAACCCCAACATTTCCAACCATTGAACTCCTAAAACCATATCCAACCCAGCCAATTGTAGTGAATAAAATGTAAAAGAAAATGGAATTCCTTGTAAGACTACTGGTACCTTATCAAATCGCCCTTGACAGAGGAGTCGCTCTCCATTAGCTACATGGACCGTGAATGCCTTGGTTAGGACTACTGGAAGCCTTAAAGAATCAACTATCCTATCACTTAAAAAATTTTGCGTGGAGCCACTACCAATTAATACCATTACCTCTTGCGTCCCAATTGTAGCTGTGATCTGCATAGTTCGTGGTGAGGTCCACTCGGTTATTGCATACATTGATATTTCTGGCTCCTCTTCCCCGATTCCTTCTAACTGAGATCTGTCACTCCCACAGCTGTCACCATGAGATTGATTGTCGGTGTGGCATTCAAGAAGAAGCAGTTGCGGGCCTTGGCATTTATGGCAAGGAGTGAACCTCACATTGCAACCAAAGCAGAGACCTTGAACTCGTCTCTTTTGCATTTCTTCCCAGCTCAAACGTTTAGGGGTCACCGGCGAGGTCTGCGGCACTTGAGGGGCATTTGCAGGAGAAAGGTATTGGGGAATCGGTCGGGCAAACCTCCGCTGCCGTGCGAGTTGCTCGTCCTTCATCCGTGCCAACCCGATTGCCTCCTTTAAAGTCTTGGGTTTGAACATGCGAATTCCATCAGCTATTTCTGATTTCAAACCTCCCATGAAAGTGCCAACTAGGGCTTTTTGAGACCAGCCCTGTACCCGATTGCCCAATTTCTCAAATTCCCGTTGATAGTCCCGAAGGGACCCAGTTTGCCTTACACGAGAGAGAGCCTCATCAAAATCTTCTCCATCTGTCGGTCCGAATCGAGCCCAAAGCTCTTTAGAAAACATGGTCCAAGTCACCATCCAATTTTCCTCTTTGTATGTCCAATTCAGCCATTGCCACCACTGGTTCGCTTCACCTTCCAAGTGAAAAGTCGCTAAGCCCACCTTCTGCTCTTTAGGAGTTCTCTGAAATTCAAAGAACTGAGCTACACGATTGAACCACTCTGTTGGATCATCCCCTGAAAATCGTGGAAACTCAATTTTGGTTCGAAGAGGGAGAATGTTCAGATAGTAGTTGTCTGTTTCATCCTGTTGGTGCCAATGCGATTGACCCCGCTCCACTAATTGCGAAGTTGTAGATGCCTTTGAGGAGAGAACCGTGTCAGAAAGAGCCCTCAAAGACTCCCCAATCCGCTGCATTCGATCGCCCATTCCAAGCCCAAGCCGCTACACTTCATCCTGTAAGCCTCCCAACCCTTGCTCTAATATTTCAATTCGCTCTTTGTTGGTTTCCATTGTGGCTTTGATACCAATGATAGGTCCCAATCAGATTCAATTCAAATCAATAATAAAAGACTTTCTTTTGGTGAAAGATAGACCACTTGAAAAAATAATTCAGCTTGCTCTATTCCAGACTAAAGTGATTACATAAATACTAGCCCACGTAACAACTTATTCCTGAATWCTAGCTAACTGACCTTGACTCTAGGAAACAAAGTCATGGAAAATACTGACTCAAAACAAATTCAAAACATAAATACTAGCCCACGTAACAACTTATACCTGAATACTAGCTAACTGATGCTGTCCAAGTGATGAGAATGAAAATTATCATATTTTTATCCCTTAATATTCAGTCTTTTATACTTGTTTAGTGCCTAATTGGACTCACTATTCTTGTATTTTGATTTAGGGCACGAAAGGAGCCGTTAGGTGAAAAAAAGGGTAATCGGGTAATTTTGCACAGTTTCGGCGCCGCGTGGTAATTTGGGCATAACTCTCCCATCCGGACTCCGATTGAGATGATTCAAGATGCAGTGTAAAGATAACAAAAAACTCCACAACTTTCAAAATTGGACTCGAAGTCTAAGCAAACTTGCAGAGAAGCCCAGTTCACAGAGAAGCCTTGTAGCAGCCCAAATCGTTGAGAAAGCCCAATACGAATTTAGCATGCAAGAATAAGAATTCGGCTGAATCATCAAAGAGTCCTATCAGATTTAATTTTTTGCTGTATTTCTAGAAAGATAAGAGGGATTAAAATTACTAGTTAAGAGATAGGAGAAGATTAGATCTAATCTAGGCATTATCTATTAGAGAACTGAACTCCCAATGGAGAAAGAACTCCTAAGAGGAGCAGGAGACAGCTCCCTCCTAAGT